TGGGGGATGTCAGTTAGTTGTCTCAGCCTTATCCATAAAGTTGTCAATATATTCTCTCTACGGAATGTTAGGTGTAGTGGAATACTTGAAGTGAAGTTGGCTTTTATTCTTGAACTGTTAGGGGCCTTCTAGTTCATATGGTCATGCGGTTACATTGACAACAAATAATGCAAATGACATAGCAATGGGACATTTCCAAAAAGCAAAAATACTGTAAATTGGCTGTTACGTATATATTGACGTTTACATATTGTTAATCAACGTATCTTATAAAGGATTATGTGATCTAGTTTAAAAGGAATATGGCCTTTTTGTCATGAGAGTAGCTGCTTAAATAGTATTTTCTCTTTGTGCCATATTTTACAGCCAAAACGTCGTGTTATGTTCAATAATGTTACCAAACCAGTGTGCCAAAGTCCGTAACAAAGGCAGGTGCAAATATTTTTTTCAAGATGGGTACCATTTTAGGCAAGGTTTCTATGTTTGGATTTTATTAGACACGATAAGAGCAGATATTTCCACATAAATATTTGATATGTGTAGAATAATATGATAAAATGTAATGTAGGCAAAAATGGTGAAAAAGCAGACACCTACCCGTACAATAGATATAAGATAGTTCAATAAGAAATAATTTAAGAATTGCTGTGATAAAAGGATTTTCCACTGATTTCGTAATGGAACGTTGCAAAACATGACATGATAAAGAAGAAAATCAATTTTTCCTACAGTCACCCGACAAAGTTGGCTTCCTTGTACTGTTTATAGTACAGAAAGCTGCTAATTGCTGCATATTTATACTTTGCCGTACGGTTTATACTTTGCCGTACGGTTTATACTTTGCCGCACATCAGGATTCCAACGAAACAACACAAAACAGCGTGGTTCTATTATGCACGTAATCCGTGTAAGCTTGGAAATAGGTTGGCAACACTTAAAGATAATAATACTATGAGCAGCTGATTGACTATTATAACTACGATTTAACCTGTCATTTCGTGTTTATAGTTTCGGTATTTCTGAACTTTCTGGACTTTTCTTTTAAACGTTTTTAAAACGTTCCTACGATCTTAATAAACAAGAAAATACCTTTAAAGCATTTTTTTAGGCGCGGAAACCACTTCAAATTACAAAAACATACGGAACTATATTCTCAAAACGTGGAGCACATTTCTTGCCGAGGAAAAATAGCGGAGTGATACGGACCGCGGGTACTACATTCTCTAGGGCACCATTTGTGTTGCCAGCTGAACCTAAAAACGTGTTGTATAGTGTTTGAAAGACTAATTATTTATATGCTTTATAGTGACTGTAGGAAAAATATAATGTGTAACACGAGTGAAAAAGGCCTTTGCTGCACTCGAGATCATTCCGCACTCGCCTGCAGCTCGTGCGTAAACATTGCTCTCGTGTGCAGCAAAGTGCCACTTTCACCACTAGTTACACAAATAACTATTTGTTTAATCAGAAAATAACATTGCAAATAATTATTTGGTAGAATTCAGTAACTCCCAATAAATGTGTGTTGTTTGAAATACAATTTAAAAATGAACAGCTGTTTCATTAAAAAGTATTATTCACATGGCCAAAATGTAAACAGCTCTGTGGAGGGATCTTTAAAGGCTTCTGGGGCAGAGTCCTAAGGGAGTTTGCTTAGTTTTTCTTTTGATAACTCATCTACAGACCAAGACCTTTCTTTGGACACCTCTACCAAGTTTCTACGCCGAGCCGTTCTCTCAAATTAGTGGGGACAAAGTTTCCAATTAAATATTTAGATTCACCCATGTTAATCTTATGGGAGAAACTCCAACATTGATGGCCTGTGGGGAAAAGCCAGGGGACTTTTATTACAGGTATTGGTGAACGGGGTGTCTACACAAAAAATACTTTATTTTGACACGTCGTTTGTAAAAATCCGTCCATTATTAACGGAGGAGTAGTGTTTCGTAGAAATTGCCTTCACGTATTATACATACAAGGATATATACTATTATATAGATGAGGTGGTGTCTGTGTGTTTGTATGAGATAATCTCAAAAACTACTGAACCGACTGGGCTCAAATTGCACACAACTGTAGCTACAGCTCCGAGGATACATATAGAACTATTCCCGCTTCGATATTGTCCTAGGGCTCTGCCCCGTGGGCTTTCAAAAATTTGAGGTGAGAGATTTAAAAGTAAATATTGATTGATGGTATCCACGGTAACAAAGAACAAACCTACAAAGCTCAAAAATGTAAACAAGCAGAACTAACAAACTGTCAAATGAATTTTGATTTCACAATGCCACACAGCTGGTTCAAACAAATTAAATACTGCACGAATGTTAGAACAGAGAGGGTAAGGATTATAAATTTAAAATAATGATGTCACTAGCCCTATTGTAAACATTATTTAACATTACTTAAATGGAGCTGTCAAACCATAATATGTTAATGTGATTTCATAAGTATATGATTCTTTCAGTTACTTCATTTGTTTATGTTTATGATCTATTATGAGTCTGTTCTAATATTTGTGAAATGCTGTAATAATGTTTTACTGGGAAAAATTTGTTGTAAAAAAATCATTTAGATACCGGTATAGGAACTAATTAATATTCTATAATCATTGCCGTATCAACCTAGGCCCTTATCGTGAGTTTTATGAGGTTAATTTCTTTGAATTATTTTTGTGTAAACCAGTAATATATAATCCCCTGCCGCAGCAAATCTATAGGCTGAGCGAATTTCCATTTGCCTGATTATAATTTCACAAAAATATGTTAGAAAATTACCCATAATTTTCCATATTTATTTATATTTTCCCTTTTTTCTATTTTTTGGTTTCTTTTATTATACCTTTAAATCCATCATTGGTTTTGTATCGTAGGTAGGCCGAGCCTAAATAAGTATTAACAGTATGAGTTAACAAAAACGTACTATTATCAAGTTAAGTAATACAGTTAAATTTTGTTTCTAAATTAAATGGTAGGAGTGAAACCATTTGGCATTTTCAAAGAACCTATGTGTATCTTTTGCATACTGACCCCGTTGCAAGGCACGGGTATAGCTGCTAGCAAATACGAATAGTAGCGCTGATTTGCAGTAGTAGTTCAGTAAAATAACAAGCGACCGGCTGACCGGCACAACTAATTGTGACCAACGGGATTGATTTATTTAGTATCTTATATGCATTAGAAATCATGTACTACCACAAAGTCTTCTTTCTACATAAATTACAATTCCATAATACCCCCACCGCAGCAAACCTTCAGCCAAAGCAAATTTCCATTTGTGTGGCTTTATTTTCAATTCAATCTAATTCAATAACGTTAGGTTTAACGAGTACCTAGGTTTGCTGCCTACAGGGAGGGTAACGAAGTGTGATTTTTAGAAAAATATTATTAGCTTAGTATGAAATAAATAAATTTGCCAAGTTTAAAGAAAATCTATTCATAAACGAGCAATATTACAAAAGTTTACTTATCCGACTAAATATTATAAGTAAGAAAGTTTGGATGTATATGGATGTATGGATGGATGGATGTTTGTGACAAGTAAACGCGAAGAATACTAAACCGACAAGGTTGAAATTTGGTATGACGATAGCTGACATTCCCGATTAACATATAGACATATTCTTACCTCAAAAATCCTTTCAGGCTCCGCCCCAATGGCTCTGGCCATGGAGTGTCTCATGTTAACCTTATGAGTATTCATATTTAAAGAAATTAAAGAATTTTGTCAGCCTTTTCAACTGCACAAGTTGGTTCTTTGATATTAAATAGCATTAAAAAGTTATAAGGCTTGCCAATAGGGTACAGCACTATTATGCTTTTTGCATTTATGACCACAGCTAATTTGAACCAACTAGCAACAAAAAGTTGTGGTACACAATGAGAACTTTACTTTTTTCCATGGTTTAGGTGCAGTGGTAGAACATTATGGCTATGGTAGATGTGTGTTACACTATAGGATACAGTATAAATTAAAAGACCAAATTGTCTCAAACCGCGTCTTCTCCCATAACTGCAATAAACATTTATACTTATATGCAAACCCCGTACGAAGGACGGGTACTCTGCTAGTTATAGATAAAACTTAGTCTCTTAGCTATTAACCTACAAAATCAGAGCTATATTGCTTCGGTAGTTTAGGTGTGGTTGAAAGAACTGGGCGCTAGGAGGCAAAACGCGATAATTCCTCGGACGATTCGGTAACGGGGATATTCCCCGCGAGCCGGGTAGATGCAGGGAGACGTCCGTTCAATTACCCACCCGAACCAGTTTTGTCCGGCTCACGCACTGTCCGCCTCACGCACGTCCGGGGGAAACACGGCACCAAGAACATGTACTTTACCCCACTTTGCTTGAAATTTACTCAAGGAGAAGATGAATCGTTGCAGCATCTATTTTGGGGCTGCCCAAATTATAATTATTTCAGAGAAAAACTCCTAAAGAAACATTTAGAAAGTATGGAAACAACCTACAATAAGCCCTAAAATCTGGAAATGATAACATTTACAAGGAAATAAACAATTATTTGAAGGAAATAGGAAAAGCGATTTAAAAGAACAATGAAACACAAACACACAGAATCACATTTATGCTGTCCACTCTTGGGTTTCTTAATCCGTGGCCCTCCTCCCCTCTTTCTGGGTGGTTAGGTATGCCTGATGGGCCCCTCGCAAAGAAGATCACCTATCTCTGCCATCCTTAAGAATCCCTTGAACCTTTTAGATCATCCTATCTTTAATAACATAATTAGGTACATTAACAAAAACAATGACAAAATATCAACATAAATCATTCATTGATTGTGCACATTCATGTTCAATAACAATTTGTAAACTAACAAATAACCTAAATTTGCAGGATGACTATTGGAAGCAACCACAACTCAGTGTACATCGACGCTGTCTGGTCTCCCTGTCTGGTCTAGTTTGCCTGCTAAGCAAACTAGAAAAAAAAAACAAAAAAAACATGAGTCGTTGTGACGTCACGTCGTGGTCACGTGGTCGTTGATGTGAATGTCAAATAAATGTTATTGTTAACCTAAAACAAACACTTTATACTATACTTGTTTTAATTTTACCAACCAAAGAATTCGCTTTTTCATTTACAAAAATGTATTGTTAATTTACTTAAGATCATATCTGGTCCACTGTAATAATGTATTAGGGTCTAATTCATTTTAGTTGGGTTTGAAAGAGGAACTCTTAACTTAGGCATACAAGCAAAGCAAAATGTATCTTACCAACTTTTTACTTACCACAAGGCCTATGATTAATTATCAGTTTTTGGGTAAGTGTGTTGTCTCTTCTTTGAAATCTGTCTCCAAATTTACTTACTTTGTTTTGGAACTAGGCCTAACTTAAGTTAGGCCTAAGATGGAATCTTCAGTTTTCCAGTATAAAAGGAAGGCAAGAATAAGTTACCTATTTCAAATCCAATCACACTAGAATGTATACTGATAAGTTATACCGTTCACATTGAACATTTTCGGCAGCCTATTGCTCGCGGACGTATTTTTCCGCAATACAGCCAGCAATAGATTTTATCGGGCGCGCGCTCAACTTATTGTTGGTTTTACCCCCCTTAAATTACTCCCCAGGTACATGATGTTGATACTGTCGTGTCCGTTAAAGTGTCCTCTATCTGTTTGCATCATCGTTAATATTGCTCGCGGACATATTTTTCCGCAATACGGCCGGCAATAGATTTTATCGGGCGCGCGCACTACTTATTGCTGAGTTTACCCCCCCTAACTTACTCCCCAGGTACATAATGTTGAAACTGTCGTGTCCGTTAAAGTGTCCTCTATCTGTTGGCATCATCGTTAATATTGCTCGCGGACGTATTTTTCCGCAATACGGCCGGCAATAGATTTTATCGGGCGCGCGCACTACTTATTGCTGAGTTTACCCCCCCTAACTTACTCCCCAGGTAACGGATACTGTCGTGTCCGTTAAAGTGTCCTCTATCTGTTGACATTATCGGTAATAAGTTTTGTGGCCGTATTTTTCCGCAAAACGGCCAGCAATAGATTTTACCGGGCGCGTGCACTAGTTATTGCCAGGTTCACACAAGTGGCCTAACTTAAGTTACATGGTTATTGAACTAATTTGTTTTACCCAGGAAACATTTTTTCCATACTAGCCTATTAAAATGCACAACATGCACATGGGTCTCCTTGTTGATATTAATTGTAGGCTAAGATTATTTCAGTCCTTAAGTAGGCTATAGCCCAAATGCCTAGTGAGGTGAGTGGTGAGTCATCATTAAATCCTTTGCTGTTAGGCCAAAACTTAAGTTAAGTTATACTTATTGTCCGCGAGAGTAAAGAAGTCTCTTGAGCCAGAGCGATACGCAGCTATCGCGAACTATTTGCAGGCGCTAAGCATCTGGGCGCCTCGCCTCGATGTCTGTCTGTAAACAACTGTTGTAAACATAATTACTCATATCTTTGTTTTGGTAAGTGGATTATCATCATGCGGTCACGTCATTTGATTCAGTGCAGTCTCGTATGTTTGCGTATTGGAGTTCTGTTTTGTTTTGGACAGTCCTTGCAGCTATGGATTTAACAAAATGTGGTGCTACTATATATACGAGAGTGGAGAGAGGGATTTAATTAGACGGGTGATCGAGTGTTGTGACAATGAATGTAAAGACAAAAAGTGATCAGTGCCGATAGAAAAGGCAACAGAACGTGCCGCAAACTATTGTATAATGTCAGAAAAAACTATTAAACGAATTAGAAAAACCTGCAAACAAACTCAGAATGAAAAACTCTGTACACTCGGGAAAAAACGCAAGAAGGCTGATCATTATTTATAGACCCACTTTCACTCGTGTTTTGAACGTTACTTTTCAGAAAATTTAAACAGTTGATAAAGCAATACCAAATATTTGTTTACGTCGGCAAAATCTAAAAAAGATAGTTAACATTCTTGTGCCATAGTAAATAATGTAATGATGGATTTTCGCAGGTGATAAACATGGAACGAAAACAGGTTATTTCACAGTAGTGTAGCGAAAAAAACTATTATCTGTTCTGAGAGAAAGGATTAATTTTAAATGGATCGAATGGGCACTTCGGCGTCTTTTCAAAGACATGGGGTTAAAGTGGAAGAAATGCAATTCCAAAAGAAAATGTTTGATTGAAAGGCCTGACATTATTTGGAGGTTTAAGTATTTGCAATAGATGAGGAAGCTAAGGGAACAAAATAAGAAAATTTTCTATCTGGACGAAACTTGGATGGGCAATAATTTAACGTTCCAGAAATGTTGGCAAAGTGTAGACGTCGATGGTGTGTTACCTGATATGAACGCGTCATACCGCGTGAAGAGTGAAGACGGCTCTAATTGTCGCGCAAAACGTTCAAGCGTAACACCTTCAAACTACGAATAGGCAGGAGCTCAGGGGACTTCTTTACTCTCGCGGACAATAATGTTGTCACTGGTAAGTTACGCAGACGCAACATAACTTAACTTATGTTAGGTAATTTCTCACCTTAAGTAAGTAGGCTATTATGGGTAGAATGAGCCTCGTATTGTCAGCACACAAATCTTTGACATGTAGGTTCAAAGAGGGCACAGGGGTACACTTTCATATCTGTTAGCACAAACAACCGAATGAGAAATATTGATTATTCGATTGTTTAATTCGATATATTGTTTGGTTGGTTAGGTTAGGTTAACCTTACCTAACTAACCAAACGATATATAGAACAATCGATATATCGATCAATATTTTCATTCGGTTGTTTGTGCCAACAGATATGGAAGTGTACCCGGGCATAGTCAGCTGTCCAACAGACTTGGGTGATATTTATGGTAAAACTCAATCTCCCCACACACAAGCAGACATTTGCATTTGACATTAGGTTCTGCCAGCTTTCAGGGCCGATTCACTGAATACGTGCCTAGGGCGCGAGGCAATTGGCTTTTTTAGTTTTTTGGGGGCGCCAAAAAATTGGAAACTAAAAAAAGAATGGTGATTGTATTTGCATGTGATTGCGGTAAACTTCTGATAACCCCTTGAGGCTGTGTAGACATCATTATCATCGTCCTCGCAGCCTTGTAGACATTGTAAACGTCTCCCGCAATAGCGGCAAAATTCAGACTGTTTCCCGCGGTCGTGTAGACATAATTATTGTCTTCCATGATCGCGTCAATATATGAATATATCTTGCGGTCGAGAGGAGATTATCGTCGTCTACTGCGAATGAAACAAAATTCTGATCTTTTCCTTCTGTCGTGTGCAAGATTGTGGTAAAATTCTGATCATCCCTATCAGCCGTGTAGACATCATAGGCTAATTACTTGTATCTGTCGCAGTTCTGAAGACATCGTAATAATCTCCCGAAGTCGTGAAGACATCGTAATCGTCTCCCGTGATTACGGAAAAATGTTAATCATATTCCACAGTCGTGTGTAGATCATCATCGTCTTCCACAATCGCTGCAAAATTCTGCCTGTTTCCTGAGGTTGTGTGGACATTATCATCGTCTTCCAGGATTGCGGCAAAATTCTGATCATCCCTCGCGGCTGTGTGTAGACATAAATTATCATCTCTCGTGATTACTGTGGTTATATGCGATCGTCGTTAATTGAAAATTCCAGGTAGGGATACAAAATTCACGCATAATTTCCGGCTTTCCCGGTTGGTGGACACCCTGTTTTATATACCGTATTGCAAAGGGGCGCTACTATTAGTTGTGCCTAGGGCGCTGACAGGGTCAAAGACAGGCCTGCCAGCTTCTCATTTAAGAAGGGTATGCTTGAAAAACGTTACTAGGCCTATAGCCTACCCTAAACTACAAAATATAGGTTCAAATAGGTCTTAGAACTTAATAAATTATTTTTGTGTAACCTCTTTTCTCTTTGTGATTCTTGTATTTTCTCTTTCAGTTAAACAATCTTCAGTCCTTATACAAATTGCAGGGTTGAAAAATTTCCGTCCTCCTCCAGATTTTTCTCGTAAGTATGGAATACCAAATTATGTTATTGATGATATTTTTAAAGGCCTTGGCCTATATAACACAAATGAGTTTGAAACAGTTCCATAGGCTATAGCATTAATTAATACCATAGGCATAACTTACATTGATAATTTTATTGTAGCAAGGCAGATTTAGGCTTTGGGTTTTAAGGTTTCATCTTAGCGTCTTAAGTGCAGGCAATCTCATAACAAATTTTTGTCAACCATCTCCTTTGAAATATACCGATTCAACGCTTTTGAGTTATAAAACGTACTTTTTAACTTTAAAGTTACTTGGCTAGAGAATAAAACAAGCCACCCAACAAACCCCTCTCAATTGCTGAGATAACTTTACTTACCGGTAACAAAATTAATAGTAAATTTTGATAGGTGTAAGCCTAACTATAAACAATTACCTATGAAACTTCACTAGAACTTCAACTAAAATAGATTTTAATCACATAGGCTACATCTATGTTGCATTAAAATTTTGTATTAAGTTGTGAATCGTTGTTTTGGTTCATAAGACCACTTTTGGTCTATAAGAATGGTTGAACTGTACAAAATTCAAAATCACTTAGTCACATAGAAAACAACAAAAATTAGGGTTTTTTTCATTCCAATCTTAATAAAATATAATACAAATCAAATGTTTACCTACCTTTATACGCCTAAACGTAGGATAAGTTAAAGTAAGGACAATCTTTTGCAAGTTGTTATTTCCTGTGTTACATGGTTTGTTTTATGTGAAGCTTTTAACTCGAGTAGGATATAATTTTATTCTCCAACATTCGGCCGGGTCCCCATGGGTTGCACACTAGACATTATCAATACAGGATTTTGGAACTCTTAATCTAAGGTGATATCTCCTGGCCAAGAAAATTATGTATTAAACTGTTCGGCCAGTACTGTAACTAGGGACATATTTCCGAATAGGCGGACTAGGCGCCCGCCTAGGGCGGCAAAAGTTTAGGGGTTGAAAAATAAAAAGGAGGTTTTAATCTAAAAAAAAGTTTAGCAAATAATTTTGGGAACGGCTTTAAGAAACAGCCATTTGAAATATTTTGATTAAGTGTAAAATTATTTCAGAACGCATTAAAGTCAAACAAAAGTCAATAGCTTATTACACAGCTGTGCTGAGTTTTCCGTGCTGTTCTATTGGTCTGACGTTGCAAAGTGGCGAACAAAGAAAACACTTCCCCCTGTTTACTTCATACGCCACTACGCGGCAGCGCTAGCTGAAAGGTAGAAAGACTTGACCAGAGACTGAACCTCATTTTTTTCACTGGGTAGCAGACAAGTTAGTAGGCCTACCATTGTCTGCCGCTTGCCACGCTCCTCTGTGTCTGGCTGTTTGCTGACACTGGAGAGATGAGAGCGTTTAACTTCAATATTAAAGTGAAGAAGAAAGCGACGAGTCTTCATCAGTGGTAGCCATATTGGATTTTAGTCCCATAAGAGAAATGTTAAATTTGACAGAACATACCATCATTTGAAGCAGTATGCCGGTGTTATTTATAAAGATAAAGATATAGTTTTGAAAATTCATAATTAGGTCTATAACATAGAGTACTATGGAATAAGGAAATGATATTTCAAATATTTGTTGTTGTCTTTTCTTAATAAATTATTTAATTAAAGGCTTAATTAATGACCATTAACTTATTTAGTGGAGGGAAAATGGCAAAACTAAAATCTTCACTCACTAGAGGACCACTAAACCTTAATTTTAACACGTCAATCATTATTTTATCACTACACGTTTTTTTAGAAATTCTGTTGCAAAGTTAACATTGCTCTTATGGGACTAAAATCCAATATGGCTATCACTGATGAAGACTCTTAAGAAAGTCGGATGTTCACTTTTTGAGGTTAATAATAGACAAGAGGATTTTCTTTTGTGTAAACCTCACGCAGAAATTATCTAACCTTAATAGTAAAAAATTATACTTGTGTGTAGGTGTGCCATAGTGGTAGGTAGTAAACATATTAATTTGTTTCATTTCAAAGCCAATAGCACATCTCTCAAGTGGATCTGACTAAAAGTGTTTAATGAAAAGCGTTATAAGAACCCTTGTATACAGACGGTTTTGTGTGCCATTTCACACCGCAAAACGTGATTATAATTACTGATTGGATAAAAAAATGTTGCATTCCGTGTACCCAAGTCAGAATCAAGTTTTGCATAAAAACTGTGCAGAAAATAAACCCCCCTTAAAAGGGCTCAAAAAGTTATTAAATTTGTTGATCCAGCATGCAATATTGCCGATTATTTTTCTACAAAATCAGCTGACAGTGCATGTATTGGCCATTGGGGTGATATTAGTGAGGTCGGGGAGTGCGCTGACAAGTTGTGGAGGGGGCGGGTGGCAAACTTCGTTGCCTAGAGGCGGCAGATACTTAAATACGTCCCTGACTGTAACTGTACCTGCTATAGCCCCTAAACATTAAACAACACTGGTCAACCAAAAGCCCAAGCATTGTAATTCTATACTTGACTCCCAGGCTGCAGCACTTATGTCAGGTTTAGCTTTCAGCCGTTTTTGTTGATTTATATTTGCATGATTTGGTTTTACTTTTGCACTCCTTTTATGTCTGTTTTCTCAGATATATGTATAGGCCTATCCTATAGGTGTACATTTTAAACTGTGTTACAGATATTGAAATCCCAGAAAGACAGAGATTAACTGTAGTACCCAAAGTACCCACCTTTCCACCAGGCTTAAGACCTCCAAAGATGCAAAAAAACCTAAAATTTATGAAGGGACCAGAGGAAGTTCATAATAAACTTATACACAAACAATATGGAATAATTGTAAGTATCATCTCTAATAATCAGTTAATTGTACATTCACATTCTATTCCAAAAATATTACCTTTAAAGTGTCTATAACATTACTCAAAGCACTTACTTTATGTAACTTTGAGGCGAGCTATCCGGAGTGCGGGAACTGTTTATGACGATTAGATTAAAGTATCTGCAATCCTAAAATGCTATGGGGAGGGAAGGAAACAGGTCCGGGACGTAGGAAGTGGTAAAGGAAGTCAAGGTGAGCAGTCCGGACTGTGGGAACTGTTTATGATGATTAGATTAAGGTATCTGCAATCCTAAAATGCTATGGGAAGAGAAGAAAACATGTCCGCGACGTAGGGTGTGGTGAAGGAAGTATAGTAAAGAAGGCGAGCAGTCCGGAGTGTGGGAACTGTTAATGACGAATTTTTTTACATACAAACTCTACATGCACATTCCAGGATAATTTAGGGTCTAAGTGAATACAAAGCAACTTAACTTGACACTATGACATGTTTTAGATGTTGTAGATTTGGTTCATGTTCTAGAGTTTCCGTTCAATCATTATCGGCTGATAATACAAAACTAAATGTCGTACAGGGGCTGGCTGGGACTGGCTAAAATGAGGAAAGTAAAAAACACGGTGCTGGTGTCAGATGTAAACTAACTCGCGTGGCTGCAACTGGAGCTTGTGTTATGGACCTTAATTTGCCATGTACTCCCAATTAAAGTCACTAGATAACCTGTTGCTCGAAATCGAGCAAAATTGGAACTTGTAATAAAATAATGAAGAACAAAAAACATAAACAGCAAAACCTCAATCATAGAGTCACTCTAAAGTAATTTCTATGACTGATTAAGGAAATGTGAAAAATATTATGTTGTAAAAAGTTATAAAAGGTACAATATTTAAATATAGACCCGGTCTCGTACTGGTTATCTCTTATGTACTGTAGGCGGGTGCCCTCTATTAGAACGTAGATGTAAACCACACACTGTAAAGTGAGATTTTCAGACCTAATGCAGCAAGCTAAATCCCTCTCTTGACGCCAACCAGTACGACACGTAGGCCTACTATTGCATTGTTAAATTATTTCTACGATATGTCCTGTTTTAGGGCGTCTTTAAATTAGGTGCCTCAACCAAAGTCTCGGGTTGGGATCATAAGAGTGAATTTAACGACGTATCTTGAACGGATTCACATTTAACACTATTAGTTTAAAAAGCCAAGTTTTATTTGGCCAGGTGGTGCTTTGTTTTCAGCTTTAAAATAGCTGCGACATTTATACAGGTAGCATCATTGTAGCGAGGGATGTCACTTCTTTTGTCTCTTACTATGCACATAAGAATCTAACTTGACTCCTCAGAGCTCACGTCCCAACAAATTTCTGCCACAGTTTTAAAAGATTGAGCAAATGGGTTGGCATTGTGAACCTATTCCCCGCATATTTTTTCATTGCATTTTTTGTTTGAGTTTGAATTGTTTTACATGTGCTGTTGGGTTCCAGTGTAAACGTCGTACTTATAGATCTGTGCCTATTCAGGATCATGACCTTCTTGAGGATTTAGGTTAGAGATAGGTAAGACAAGTCATGGATCTTGAAAATGTAGATCCCCTGTGTGACCCTCTCGTCAAAATTAGCTTAAGAGGTGACCATGGCAAAGGCGGAATCGAATCGAAGAATTTTATCCAGATAATCTCTGGATCCAAGCCTCACAGTCCTTTTTTCAGATTGGGAGTTTCCAATAAGTTCCTGAATGTATGGTGAATTCCACAAATGGGGTAAACGAACTGATTGTATGTATCACCACGGCGGTACTGCCACTCTGTATCCGTCAAATTGGGAGGTTCATGCAAGCGGTCACGTTTGCATTTCATCCAGCCAATGACAGTTCTTTGTCTTACTGGTGGCATTTAATGTTAAATTTAGATAAAATACGAAAGTTAACCAATCAACAGAAAACACTACAAAGGAATTTTGATACATATTAAAATTACATGATAATATGGTAATGTAATGGATAACTGCACTGTAAATAATCACTTTCAAACATTCTCTTAATCACACCGAACTGTAACCAAACCTACATGATAATTCTAATTCAGTAAAATACGATGTTAGGTAAACAAATTCAACTACATATTACAAATAGTTTCAACTACATATTACAAATAAAATGTGTTGTCAGGTGATTTGAATGTTTAATGTTTAATGGGAATTTGTTGATGTTTAAATAAAAATGTAAAATTCCGGCTTTGCTCTAGAAGTAATAAGTCCTGCAGTCTGTGAACTTGAAAACTATTTCAAACTTCGTCCATGTGTTTAGTTGTAAACAAAGGGAATTGAGTTTGATGGTTTGATCTAGTGTTAAAAGATAGCACCGCCGTTCCCAAACTTTAGCCCTTGACTGTACTTAAGTGATGCCCTTTCCCAATATTCTGAGACGTATTTGCATTTACATCTACGTGAAAATATCTTTAATTTGACACCTCAAACGTTAAAATCCGTCAAGCCGTTACCGAGTTATGACTGTGAAAAGAAAACTGCTTGCGTATTAATATATAGATAATGTTTAAATGCCGAATTTTAAAAGTTTTACTCTAGATTGAAGATTGGTGAAGTATATTTATTGTATAGCCTAAATTGTGCTTGTGTGCTGCTTGAGAAAGCTTGTAAACTAAACTCATTCTTATTGAGTAAAAAATTCTTGAATGTATGTATATAATTTTGAAAAATATTATAAATAAGTTCATTCAATGATTTTGTCTATCTTATATTTTAGAAAATTTCTAATTTGAATAATTTTGGTAAGATTTTTATTGAATTTGACTGGAATGTGTAGAGCTGGTTATACTTGATTGAGTTCGCAAACCAGCAAGATCAGTTCATGAGAACTGGGTGTTATGGAGTTTTGAAGTTTATTTAAATTTTTACCCATAAAACATGATAATGCCAAATTTTCTTTACAACCGTCTTGTAGAGCTTATGAAACAAACAATATAATTGTGCATATTGAATGAAGCATTGTTTTGAAACTAAAGGCTACGGAGATAATTTCAAATAACTACAGTTGGGACCACGTAAGTTTGCAGTTGAGGGAGGAGCCTATTTACCATATGGTTTTAAATGAACCAATGAGAACCGTGCGGTGTTTCCAAATCCAGCTGATTTGAAAATATTGCTTAGTATATTTTAATTAGTGTTGTCAAGGGGTGATGTGGCAACCTCACACTAGCCTTGTCTTGTGATTGGCTGCCACCAACTGCAAACTTACGTGGTCCCGACTTTAGGTACATTTAAATTTTCCAATTTGTTTCTTATGGAGAAAAAGAAAACAGTTGTAGTTTGCTTGTTTATGTATATATTTTGATCAAATTTGGATAGTTTGCTTATTCCAACCTATACCGGTACTATTAAAATGTTATCTAAAAAAACCTTTTCTCCCTCCCCTTGGCAGCAAACCTAAGTACTCATTAAATCTAATGAGTTATTTAACCCTTTGAGTGCTAGGCCAATAATTTGTATTTCATAAGACTTTTTTGTTTGCCTTTTAATTCCATTATGTGTTGTTTAATTGTAACTGTATTGTTTTCACTATTTTATTAATTAGGCTAATTTGGATTGATAAGAATATAACAAATAACAAAGAAAAATATGGGTATTTGTAGTAAACATTATATAAAACTGTGTTTTCATTGCAAATTTCCAAGTTTACTTATAGCCTAAATTGTAATGTTCTGATAGCATTACCAAAATCTCATAGAATCTAAAGACATCTAGTTTACAATGTAATATTGTATTTAACCTTGATTTAGTTTGATAAGGTTATTATAATATAGCCTTTTTAGGAAAAAAAAACCTTTTTGCAGCAAAGACTCAGTAACACCATTTTTGGTCACTGTTGTGGTTCAGCTGAAAAATATAATCTAAATAGTCCGTGACTAACTAGTGCTGCTACCTAGTACAGTAACGCATTGAACTTAACTTGCTGTAGCACTATCTGTAAGCAATCGTCGGCATCACCTTAAATATAGGTTTTTGACTCCTCAGTCTCCAAGCACAGATAGCTGAGGTGGCTAGGGCGTGTCATTTGACCAGTGGCATTCGTCTGCTCGGGATCGAATCCCGTCCTGAGTGACAAGCAATTGGTGTCCTGTGTGTTTGTAGCGATGTAGTCATAGTCATAGTCATATAATCTTTATTCAAGAGTACAACATGTTGCACCAGAATGGCGTTACCATCACAGAAAACATACTACAGTAACCCAGAATGCTAACCGCATGGTAAAAAGCGTTAAGTACTCGGAGAGAGCTGTGCCTGTCAATTCGTAGGCAGCGCCACCAGCACACAACGCACCAGCATGTTTTCTGTGTTACCGTATACAATTAAATTAAATTGTACCGATTTGCGCGTTTTTTATAATAAGTCAATATGAGTAAATACGAAACAGATAGTCAGCTGATTGGGAACCCACAATGCACTACGAGAAGTGGGGGTAAATCGGGCAGCAGCCATGGTCACAGTCTTAGTCGTTCTTGTGTCCTCCTACCTTTCCGACGCGCATTAGCTGAGCTATCAAAAAATCGATCGTGCAAATTAAATTCAATCCGCGGTGTTTGTCCGGACAAAATTATTTCCATCAATCGTTAAGCCTATATCCCGCAGGGATATATTTGCCGCGCGTGGTGAAAATAAAATCAGTTTTTGAACAAGAAAGTGTTAACGTAACTTTACCAGCAAACACAGACCGCCATTGAAAATTCACGTTCGTTTGACCAAATTGTTCAATTGCGTCTTTTGGAAAAAGAAGCTCAGCTAATTCCGTATTCCTCTCCCTCACCTAGTGTTTGTGTCTTTGTAGGACGTCCGAAATTGTAAGTAGTTTATTGTTATTTATTGTTATATATTAGTTTTCAGTGAGTCGCACATGTGTACAATTTTCCTGTCATAGTTTGTCATTTCCTGTTATATTAGCACATGTTTTCAGGTTCAAGTCTTCACTAGTATTTTTAATATCCATTTCTGATAAATCAATCTGCATTGTTTAGTATACTGTGATTTTTTCATTATATACGACTAATTAAATTGTATAGGGTTTTGTACTTATAGTGAATGTAACTTGTAAATTATTCTACTGAAATGATTTACGGTAATTCATGACAGAGTCATTGTTTAATTTTGCTGAGATATTAAATCAAAGATCATTTAAGAGTGCCACAGTCATTATTTTATTTGTGGAAAATAAAATAATATTGAAAGTGGAGGTAGGCAGCTGGTTCGGCTAGATACGGAGGTGTTAATTGGGGTAGTGTGAGTTTGTGAATAGATGAACCGCCAAAGTACCTTTTTAGCCATAAAATAATAAGCAATATTCTAGCACATATTACTGCGGTTAAACAGAACACTGTTTAATCAGTTGGACTACGAGACTCGACCTTCATTTTTAATTCGTTGGCCAACGAACAGGATTTGCTGGTACTGGTCATCTCAAATTTTAAAGTAAATATCACACCTTATTTGGCATATTCGGGATCAGTGTGTAACCGCGCCACAACTTCCCTTTTGATAGGTCCATTCATCATCTTTGAATTATAGGTTTTAATTGACTGTTGCACTCTAAGTCGGGGTTCAGTTATTATTTAACCTTGGGAAATAAAATACAGACACACAAATAATTGATAAGTAGTTGTCATAAACCAAATTAAAGTGTAAACATTATTTCAATACTGTACAATAAATTGAATTGTTAGATATTTCCCCATAGTTATCAGTATCCTGGGTATTTCTCTTAGCATTAACAGTCATTCAATTGAAATTTGGTAATATATAGTGAGTAAGAAGGGCCACTGCAAAAGATTCACATTTAAAGTACAACACTAGGTTTAGTGTGACAGTGTGCAGAGTAAATTCAGTGTACTTTAAGATTTATTAAAGATATTTCAGTCTGGAAGAACTTAAAACAGTGCCAGGGACGTCCCATAAGGATCTCTGGGAAGTATTTTTTATTTTACAGGGCCCCCTCAAATATTTTTATCAAGCTTCCACTGCCAAAAGCTCTGTCTTATATTATTACTTTCCAAGTTCTTCCAACCCAGGGGCAACTAAGATTTGTAAAGAATTCACTATTGAGAGCACTGCAAGGAGTTAAATATATTTAAATACAATATTTAAATATATAAGTAATATTTTTTTTTCTTTTTCTTTACAAATTTGTTAAAAAACGGCATGAACCCAAGGTCTTGAATTTTGGTAAATTATTCTTTACAAACAATATCAAGTCAAAGATGTATTGGGCAAAAACAGTAAGAATGCTAAGTTTTGAAATTTGTTCTTTAACTAAAGTTGTTTAATCTTGAATGTTTAACATGATGCTAAGTGCTTGTTTTTGAAATTATAATATTTTGCAAAATATTCTTGAGAGGTAGCTCCATATAAAATTATACCAAAGGAGATGTGGGAGTGAATAAAAGCAAAGTAAATTATTTTTTATGTTTCCAAAGGACATAATTTTGACATTTTTCTCAGAGCAAAAATCCCTGATGAAATTTTACGGCCAAGATGTTCAATATGAAGGTTCCAATTTAAATTGTTGTCCAATACAAGTCAAGTCCTAGGAATTTAAAATTTGGCAGTTCTTCTAGACATTTTCCTTTCATCAACATTCTGTGTTGAGCTTGTTTATTACTCTGATATGTTGAGAAAGATATGCACTTTGTCTTCATTATATTAACTAAAAGGTTTAAATTGTTTATAAATTATTTACATATGAAAATTGGTTATTCGCTATTGACTCTACTTTCTGACGGGTATTACCAGATACAAGTAAGCTAATGTTATCAGCATATAGACAGACTTCAGCATCATCTAATACATCTGGTAAACCCTTTGTATAAAATATGAACAACAGTGGTCCCAGGATTGATCCTTGTGGCACTCCATATTTTAAAACTTCCAACGATGAAGTAAATTTACCATATTGTTGTTTGTGATATTAGTTATTTCTAAATATTGCTGTCTTTATTTAAATATGATTTAAACCAATCTAAAGCTCTCCCCTTGAGACTCAAACAAAACAAGTTATTTATCAGCTTGGAGTGTGACACACTATCAAAAAGCCTTGCTGAGGTCTATAAAGACCCCAGTAACATTATTTCTCTTATCCACTGAATCTATTAATGATTCAATGACCTGAACACTAGCACTAATCACAGACTTGCCGGATTGAAACCCATGTTGTTCTTTATCTATCAAGTTGTTGGTTTCCAGAAATTCTGTTAATTTTATACATATAGTTTTTTCATAGATCTTATAAAAGGATGGTAACAAAGATATAGGTCTATAGTTTGAAGGTATAGCGGGGTCTCCCTTAAAAAAAAAAAAGGTTTAATCTTAGAAATTTTTATTTATCAGGGAAAATACCTGTAATAAAAGAAGATTTTACAAGATGACATAACAGATATTTTAAACAAATATTTTTGTTGGACTGAAGCATGTCTCACCTGAGTGGTGAGCGGCGTTTTTGTGAAAATCGGTTTTGACTTGGAACCGCTCGCTGCTCAGACTTATCGTGGCCCCTCTTGACAAATTTACATTCAACTTAAAGAGACCCAGTGTCAGAGCGGCGCCGCTCACACCGCTCGTATCGTACCCGGGGACCTTATCCAGGTCAAAAAGTAAGAAAAACAACAAATTACGGAAGTGAATTAGTAAATTACTGGCTTTGGTTGCAGTAGTCTCTGTCATGATAGTGACCCTAAGATGTTGCATATCACTTGTATTTACCATTTTATTGTTTTCAATTTTAGTCAATGTTTTTAATTAATTGTTAAATTCACAGGCACTGACAGGTGGTCGTTTGAAGCATGGACACTTTGAAATGATTCGAAACACCCTGGGTCGAAAGATTGATACCAAGAGAATGTTTTTGATTTGGAGAGTTGATCCACCTTGGCAACCAGTTACAAAAAAGGTACTGTACTGTTGAGTCATACGATGTTATTATTGACTGTTAAGGGCAGTTGGAGTGATGATGAGCGATACATTTTAGCTGCTGCTGTTGCCCCACCAAGCTAATAGCCTACTACTAGTATGTAACAGTTGAACTCTCTGATTCATGATTTTAACTGTGGCTCATTTCTAGCTTGTACACTGTATACTGTAGTGAATGTAAAAACAAAATACCCCCGCCACAGCATACTTGCCGACTAAGCGAATTTCCATTTGTCTGAACTGATTTTCAATTTAAATCTATTTAAATAACATTAGGTTTAACAAGTACCTAGGTTTGCTGCTACAAGAAAACTAATTAAGCGAGTTTTTTAGTAAAATATTAATAGCTTAGTATAAAATAAATAAATTGGCCAAGTTTAATCCAAATATATCAATAAACAAGCAAACTACATCATTTTACAATATTCTCCATAAGAATAACATGGGAATTTTAAATTTACAATTTTTGGAATTTTCTCCGTTACCAATAACCGTACAAAAACACTTTGATATACTAAATTATTTGCTTTTTTAAGCCCTTTAACAAGGTCTAGAGAGAAATTAAGAAATTTTGTGTTTTGAGGGTCAAAAATGAGAAAAACCATTTTTTACCCCTTAAAACACTGTTCCCATGGTCCGATCATGCTGGTTCGCGAATTCATTCAAGTTTATACCGCCTTACACCTTCAAACCAAATTTCATCAAAATCGGACAAAAATTACTCAAGTTATCGCGTTCACGGACATATATATATATAAATCTATATGAAAAATAGAAAAATAGGGCTACTATATATAAATAAAGATTAAACATTAATAAACTTAGTACCCAAGTAAAATTATTTATTAAAATTTTCAATATTCATATATAATTACTAGCTGACCCGGCGAACTTCGTATCGCCTAAGTTATAGGTTTCCCCTAAGACAGACCGATGGAAAGAAAGTACCGTTACGTTTAATTTTCAAGATGATCTCGTTCGCATCGCTCAATCACGTCCTGGTTGAAGTTCGTTCGCTACGCTCACTCACCTTTGGGTTGGAGCTCGTTCGCTACGCTCACTCACCTTTAGGTTGGAGCTATATATATAATATACTAGCTGACCCGGCGAACTTCGTATCGCCTAAGTTATAGGTTTCCCCTAAGACAGACCGATGGAAAGAATGTACCGTTACGTTTAATTTTCAAGATGATCTCGTTCGCATCGCTCAATCACGTCCTGGTTGAAGTTCGTTCGCTACGCTCACTCACCTTTGGGTTGGAGCTCGTTCGCTACGCTCACTCACCTTTAGGTTGGAGCTCGTTCGCTGCGCTCACTTGCCTTCAGGTTAGCTCGTTCGCTACGCTCACTCGCCTCCAGGTTGAAGTTCGTTCGCTACGCTCACTCACCTTTTGGTTGCAAATTAGCTGTTGTCATAAATGTAAAAGAAATAATAGTGCTGCACCCTGTTGGTAATCCTTGTAACTTTAATGCTATTGAACATCATAGAACAGAACCAACTTGTTTAATTGAAACAGCTGTTAAGATTCATTAATTCCATTTCTCATAAGGTTAACATGGGAAACTCCAGAGCCACTGGGGCGGAACCCTTTTAAGAATTTCGAAACGGGAAATAGTTTACGTCCGATTCGCATACCTACAGAATTTACACACCAAATTTCATAACGATCGGTGAAGTCGTTCCGGAGGAGTTTGCAGACAAACACTGTGACACGAGAATTTTATATATTAGATATATACAGGGTGGTAAAAAAGTCCCTGGACAGTTGAATATTTTAAAAAATAATGCAGATAGAGCTATAATACTTGGTACAAAGTTACAGGGCATAAAACTCTATTTTAACACATATTCAGTGATCCAATAACCCTTCAGGGGGACGGCCCACAAGGAGTCAGAAGAAAATCTTAAACGGAAGCATAGGTCAATATGCACATCAAATTAAAGGTCTTTTTTTGTAGAATACAATGCCGCAAACCGCACTTCAAAAGGTTGATCCTGCGCAAAATGGCAGATGTTCAAAGATTTCTTGAATCCGCCATTTTGAATCTTTGAACGACTGCCATTTTTTACTCAGGCATTCTTTTGAGCTTGAATTTACAGCATCGTAATCTACTAGTGAAGACCTTTAATTTGATGTGCATATCGACCTATGCTTACGTTAACAATTTTCTTCCGATTCTTAGGGCTGTGCCCCTGAGGAGTAAGCGTATAATAGCAATGTAAATTAAATGAATCTTTGAACAACTGTCATTTTGCGCAGGATCAACCTTTTGAAGTGCGGTTTGCGGCATTGTATTCTACAAAAAAATACCTTTAATTTGATGTGCATATTGACCTATGCTTCCGTTTAAGATTTTCTTCTGACTCCTTGTGGGCCGTCCCCCTGAAGGGTTATTGGATCACTGAATATGTGTTAAAATAGAGTTTTATGCCCTGTAACTTTGTACCAAGTATTATAGCTCTATCTGCATTATTTTTTTAAAATATTCAACTGTCCAGGGACTTTTTTAGCACCCTGTATACAATATATACATATATAAAAATTTTAACGAATAGTGTTTTTGTCCTCTGGGGACATCAAAATAAAAAAGTAAATCGGTCCCGGGCCTAGGTCTTACCGTGCCACCTACGGTAATAGCTACTTCCCTATAGGGAAATTCGCTAAAAAAACAGACACATTCCTTTGCAAGTAGATTTCCACTCCTTTACAAGGTATACTAGGATTGCTTTCAGAGAGGTGAAACCCAGTTGAGTGGAGCAAACGTGATTTGATACTGTATAAGTAACTAAATTTTAAAAAAAGTCAATAGATGTACTAATGCTTGTTTTATTGATTAAAATTATAATAATTCAAATTTAGTTTTTTTACTACATCTTGTGATTCAGATACCTCTTCAAAAAGTGGATTATGGTAGTTTTGACCAGGAAAATATTACAGTAGTTGAAATCTGATATTAACATGCAAAAAGGGCATTAAAGTATAAAAAAGAGAAAGGAAATTTAACATTCAAATTCAACTGTAGCCTAAAACAAAACATTGGACTTCATTTTTCACCCTTACAATCGGTTAAAAGTATTTAAGTATAAAAAACAGTAACTATTTTAAAAAAAACAAGTATTTAAGTATAAAAACAGGAGGGGAAATTTGACATTTAAATTCATCTGTGCAACATAAACATTTGTCTTCATTTCAATTCAACCCTTGCAATCGGTTAAACTCAGCTTTCATTGCTGGAAATAATTTATAATTGTTAATACCAAGTATTCTTGATGGAGGATATGATTGTAATGTAACTGGAATGTAGGCCTTCTACCAATATTAGACGATTTAGAGACGGCATTTTAATACCCGCCTTAATAAACAGCCTTGAGACCAACTCCAATCGATTTTTTGTGGCCAAATACCTCATAATAAACAAAACAATCTAATATCCTCGGACGAAACCCGTTTTTGGGTCCTTAGAAGAAGCTGCACACTTGTGAAAAAAAAATTGTTTTGGATTTCACATAATTTGTGCTCAAAGTCAGCTTGTTTTTTACGAGCCCGAAGAAACCTACATATAATCTGACAGTTTTAACTTATCAATTTGAAAATTATACGTAATTGTAGCGTGATTTACATTAGTTGAGTAAAGTTTGGTTTGTTATAAAATACTATTGTTACAATACAAGTTAAATAGAATGAAAATGAAAAGAATAGGTAGTTTACTGGAAGAAACTTTTATGATGTACTATAATATTGGTCAAACTTATTTACAGAATAAGTACCTGGGGACCAAGCTTTGCTCGGGGAAAATCATTAGTTTACTCTGAAAGCAGTTTAGTATTGCAGATACAATAATCCACTCCCAAACTCCACACTGCTCACCTTTACTACTTCCTTCACCACTCCCTACGTCGTAGATCTGTTTGCCCTCCTTCCCTATACCATTTTAGAATTGAAGATACATAAACGCCACAGACAGTTCCCACACTCTGCACTGCTAGCCTTACTACTTCCTTCACCATTTCCTATGTCATGTACCTGTTTTCCTCCCTTCTCATAGTATTTTAGTATTGTAGATACCTTAATCTAATCCCCATCAACAGTTCACACACTCCAAACTGCTCACCTTTACTACTTCCTTCACCACTTCCTACGTCGCGGACCTGTTTCCCTCCCTTCCAACGGCATTTTAGGATTGCAGATACCCTAATCTAATCATCATTAACAGTTCCCACACACAGGACTGCTTGCCTTTAGTACTTCCTTCACCACTTCCTACTTCGTAGACCTGTTTCCCTCCCTTCCCATAGCATTTTAGGATTGTAGAAACCTTAATGTAATGGGGTGAATAGAAACACTTTTTGACTTTTAAGCTTCTGTAAAACCGATATTTTTAATTTTTAAATTTTCAACACTAGCTCATATTTTCGGTCTTGAACTCCTCTACTCAAACCAGTTATCAATTTCTTTTTCTTTTTAATCATTAAGCAGAAAAAAAATAATATATGGCTGTTTCTATTCACCCCGCACTTTGGGGTGAATAGAAACACTGTGTTAAATTGATGATTGTTGCTTTTCCTCACTTACCAGGGGCAATAGAAACATGAAATTTATGCTTGTTAGCTTAGGTTGTTGTAAATAAAAATATTTAAAGTTAATTAACACATTTATTTATAAGTACGAAGTATAAAAACGTCGTTTTCATAAACCCTTATCCAAACAAATCGGAGAACATAAATGACAATGGGTGAAATCAGAGTAACAAAATGTTACATAGAAACCAACTAAATGAAGAGTAAAATCAGACAAATCTTCCTCAAAATACAACGCTCCATTAAATATACAAGTTGTACACGGCTTGGGAGTTGGAAGCCGATCGTACTACGTCATCGACTTTGAAGAGGGCCTCTTAATCTGTCTCTCAGAACTTGTTGGTTTGCGCAATTTTCTTGATGAATTTTCCTATTTATCCTTCCTCGTCAAATTCAATAAC